CTATCTATCTATCTATCTATCTATCTATCTATCTATCTATCTATCTATCTATCTATCTATCTATCTATCTATCATCTATCTATCTATCTACCTATCATCTATCTATCTATCTATCTATCATCTTTTTTAGTATTCCTTAAACTAGATGGGATATTTCTGCAATCTCTTGTGGCAAGATGTATCTATTAAACAGACAAAAAGGGTTTTACTGAGAAAATAATGAAAGTGTTTTCTAATTTTCCAGTTGAGAAATGGAGATTGTACAAACTTTCCATCCCAAAACGCTTATCCATGCTTCATTTAATTAACGTATTCAGCTATCCTAATGTTCCGTATTTTCATTAGATCCTAACCATTTTCCTGCCCTCATTAGTACAATTCTGAATTGATTACTCGAAGAAGACTCGCTCCATCTCTCTCTTCATTTTCCTCTACATACATTTCCATATTATGTTTCAGAACATTAATAAAAGCTGGGCTTTCATCTATATATATAAAAGCAAAATACCACTCAAGCATCATCACAAAATCTCCAGAACCATAAAACCTACCAACTTGAAATTTTGCACGTATGTTCCTCTTGGCTTCTAGGTGCTCACTAAGAAAGGATTTTTCAAAATGACCATCAGAACATTAGTATTTTGTATATTATTATTAACACACTCTGATGCTAAGGAGTTCTACTCCCCGTCCCCACCTGAAAAGAAATCTGTTCCAAATGCAAAACACAAGCAGAGGAGAGGAGTTTCAGTTTCAGTTTTACTTTCACAGCAGCAACCAGCTTTAGTACAGAACAGTTGAGCTAAGCCATGCCCAGGCTCCTTGCTGTCTCCTTCTTGCTCACACAGCAAATACTGTTTCAGTTTCTCAACTCTCTCACACACTGACAGGACACTAGCCAGATGAATATTGATGGATGCTGGTAGGCAGAGGCACAATTTTTCCCCCTTATTTTCCTCCCCCACAACTAAGCCTGATCACATAGTTTCGTAGTGAAGCACGGGTATAGAGCACGGGTATATTCTTCATATGTGCTAGGCAGTTGGTGTTCAAAGCCATGCTTGGAACGTGGCCAAGACTAGCATAAAATAATATTAGGTAACTTTGAAGGACTCAGATATGTTGGAATGTCTCCATATCTATTGTACATAGTTTTTTGTTTCAAAATGTTCAGCCTCCACAATTGGTTTAATTACATTGATCCTTATTTTTAAATCTCAAGAGATTTGATTGCAGATATTCATCACATCCGTAATTTGGACTTGACCTTCAGGGTTTTTTTCTTCCTAGTTCTGTTACCCCTAGTCCTCTCCCCCCCCCCACTTTTTTTTCCAGGCGGGGGAAGGAAGCTATTATTTTTCTTCCATGTCTATCATGTTTCAGTTCTGAATAATGATTCCACGTTTCTTGTTCTTTTACCTTTTTCTTCTCTCAGGAGTATTTGCATTTGGTCTTTTTGCTACCAACATATTTGTAAATGCTGGCCAGGTAGTGACGGGCAACTTGGCACCCTATTTCTTGACTGTGTGTAAACCCAACTACACTGGGAGTGACTGCCGAGCTCATCACCAGTTTGTTAACAAAGGGAATATCTGCACTGGCGACCAAGATGTGATTGAGAAGGCGAGGAGATCTTTTCCATCCAAACATGCTGCTTTAAGCATATATTCAGCCTTATATGCCACAGTAAGTACCTGTCCTGTGTGCTCCGCTTATCATTTCTGACTGCTTTAACGCCCTCTTATTTCTCTTAAGGCCTAAATGCAGAATCACAGAGGTCTGCCATGCCAGTCTTGTTGGTCTGTACCACTTCACAATCAAATACTGGTAGTTCTCGACATACAACAATTCGTTTAGTGATAGCTCAAAGTTACAGTGGCACTGAAAAAAGCGGTGTCAGGGTTCCAAGTAATAAACCCCCATTGCAAGCAAGAACTCCGAGGCAGGTGAATTCCTCAAAGAATAGCTTTAGTGGAAATACCCTGTTTCTCCAACAATACGGCCTCCCCCAATAGGAAGTCCCAGCATGTTTTATAGGCATGAAATGAAATTAAGCCCCTCCCCCCAAATTAAGGCCTATATTAAAACATGCAAAATGGGGGGAATGGTGGGGGGGCTTGCCGTTAGGAAGTACTTTTGTTGCACACCCGGATATGGTGCTGCCTGCGTTGACCCCGATACGAAGTGCCCCACCAATGCCGAGGTCAACATCCAAGCCGTCGCCGCCTGCTCGAAGATGCAGAAACATGGTATCATATTGGCACATATCTGGTGAAAAGCAGCTCTGAGAGGCCCCTTGGTTTTCACCTAATTAAAAGTAAAAGTTTTTCCCTCAATCCCAAACAATCAGTCACATGGCCCAACCATTGCAGCTTCTGTGGGTCTGGTGACATCACTCCTCCTTCTCTCGGCCAGGCGTGAGAACGTCCCTGTTTCCCAGGAGAAAGTCTTGAGAAAGGATTTTATTTTGACTACACAAGCCCAGTTATCTCTAATCCCCCCTCTCTATCCCGCACTCCAGTGTGGCAACACTAAAGCTCCAATATGGCTTCACCCAGGTCAGCTTCAGGGTTGACAAGTGGCTTATGACCGTTTTTCACATTTACGACTGTTGCAGTATCCCCATGGGGGATGGGGTCACGTGGTCAAAATTCAGAGGCTTGGCAAGTGACTCATATTTATGATGGTTGTAGTGTCCCTGGATCATGCAATCCTCTTTTGTGACCTTCTGACAAGAAACCCTAATGGGGAAGCCAGTTTCACTTCACAATCGTGCTGCTAATTTAACAACTGCAGTGTTTCACTTAACAACTGTGGATAGAAAGGTCATAAAATGGGAAAAAGCTTAACAAATGTCTCACTTAGAAATCAACATTTTGGGCTCATTTGTGGTTGCAAGTCAAGGTCTACCTGTAACCATTGTCTCCTCAGTGGGTTCACATTTATTTCTAGAGGGTGTGCGTGCTTAAATTTGGCCTAGAAATATCAAAGGACCAGCCCACAGTGCCTCTGCTAGCCAAAATGGGCCATGGGCCATGAGTTGGCGTGCAGCCACCTATGGTCCGTTTTTGGCCTCCCTGGCCTCCAGAGCACTCTGCCAGTGAAAAACAGGCTACTGGGGCCTCCACGTGGCCTTCACGAGGCCCTTTTTTGGCTGGCAGAGCGCTTCTGGAGGCCGGGGTGTACTGTGAAAACAAAGAAGGGAAGGGAAAAAGTGCCCACCATGACCACACGCATCTCAGCCACGCCCACCGTGACCACGCCTCCCCCAGCCTGGTCAAACATAACCCTGATGCGTTCCTCAATGAAATCGAGTTTGACACCCCTGATCTAGATTATTTATAAAAATGCTCAATGGGGCCCAGAGTAGAAGGCTCTAAACTAATATGAAGTCATTGACTAATTAGACACTGCCTTTTTGAGGGCAGTGATTACGCCAATTAAGATTTCAATACTGAATATATCATGGACTGCATTGAATATTTTGCTGAGGTCAAGATACATTATTGTCCAGGGCACTTCCCCAATCTATTAAACAAATAACTGTTACAAAAAAGGAGAAAATGGCAATTTTGCATCATTTGTTTGGGACAAACACATACTGGCTCTGGTTATTTGCTGCATTGTTAAGTGTTCATAATCTCATTTGTAGTTTGAACATGAATTAATAATGAAGCTGCTTCATTTTTTAATATTCTTAAACTTGAAGGTCTGTAATTTTTTCTTTTCAAAAAAGGGACAGCATTTGTTGCCATCTTCTGGATTCACCAGATCTCCAGGAATTCCCTTTAGTAGTTTGCAGTTTTCAAGTTCCATCAGTATTCAGGATGGCTAAAGTTTATCTGGCCCTGGAGACTTGAAGTCATTTAAATTATCCATGTATTTTTAATCTGGTTCTTGTCTATCCTAAACCGAAACTCCTGTCTTCCACTAGTGTCCCAACAATAACCAGCTAGGTCTTAATTTCCAACCTGTGAGAAGATAAATGTAAACTATGAATTAAAGACATTCTGTTCTGCTTCTTAATATAAGGCAGACAGAGTAACTCCACAAAGCATCCATACAAAGTCTTTTTATTGGTTCATCAGGCATCCTCAAATAACTCATGGTTATGATGAGATTCTTTTCAATGTCCAATTCTCTGTATAGCTGCACTTCATGGTGTAAAAAGATGGTAATCTTTTATCCCTTTCATTCCATATCGTAGGAGCAGGGGTAGAGATGCTAGCACAAGGCTGGGTTCAGGCAAGAGTGAAGAAACCTCCCCCAACCCACCAAGGGTCAATTTAGTAACCAATCAGGTTTACTGATGTGGCCACATGACATGGACTACATTTCCCAGGATACCTTAACTACATTTACCATGATGCATTCCCTTAAGGGGACAGCTCCCAATTACTAACTAACTATACCGATTCCCATTAACTATAAACTGTCTGGACAGCACACATTCTGCCTTCTCGCCTGCAGCCATTTTGTTTGTGTAGTAGTAGCAGCAGCAGCAGTAGTAGTAGCAGTAGTAGTTTTTGTTCTAGGCTTTTTTCACAAAGCTCAGCGTATTCAGAGTATTAGCCTTTCTATAAAAACACAGTTTCTATAGTTTTTGGCTATTGCCTTATATCCTTCTTTGATTAAACAATCCCTCTTCTATTTCTTATATGTATCTATTTTTGTTAGCCTTTAAGAAAGTTCGGTAATTATCTATACTGCCTTCCTTAAATGCCTCCCTTTTTTTCCTAGTATGAATTACTTGCAATGGTGCCTATAACACAGGTAGTCCTCGAATTACAACTGGTCACTTAGCAACCATTTGAAGTTACAATAGACTCCTTAAAAGGTACTTAACACCTGAAAATTTTGCTTTCTTGAGAAGACCTCATCTATACCTTCTGCCTGTCTACACAAATCCCACAAGGATATATTTCTTTTGTTTCTCTCTTCTTTTATTTTTACTCAATTGCTCTCAGCAGGATTTCTGTTCTCTTATTTATGAATTTCTGTACAGGCATCTGTTTTTCTATACATAGAAGTCCAAAGCTCCCTTCCTTCCTGTTGAATCTGTTCCTTTTGTATAAGCTGTAACTAGGGGGGGGGTGTCAAAAATTTTAGCAAAGGGTTCTCTGCCCAGTTACTGTGTGGGTGTGGCCATGGTGTGGCCACACAACTTGTGGGGGGGGGGTGTTTTTGCCCTCCCCGGGCTCCGGAGACTTTCTATGAACCTCCGGGAGGGTGAAAACGGCCTTCCCAGGCTCTGGAGACTCTCTGGAAGTTGAAAACAGGCCCATTTCCAGTCTTCCCAAACTTCTGGGAGGCCCATTTTTTTGCCCTCCTTGAGCCTCCACGTGCGCCCTGCACTTACCTGCATCCGAAACAGGCCACGTAGGGATTCCTGGGAGGGGAGGGGTGGAGGGGAGGCCAGGACTGAGATTTGACGGTTCTCCAAACTGTACAGAATCTTAGCTAGGGGCTCTCCTGAACCCCTGCGAACCCCCAGCAGCCCACCCCTGACTGTAACCTTCCAGGGCTATGTTCCAGTCATGTCCCATCGAATGACAGTGATGCCTCTTGCATCAAAATTCCCCCCGCCCTCCCAGTATTAGGGGGTCACCTTTCCTCTGTTTGATTCCTATATTCTTTGCTTTGTTGTAGAAACATCTAAGATTCACATACTGCCTTTGAATATTGCATCTGGCTGTCATTGCAAAAAGCTTTTGATAAATCCATGCTATACACGTTTGATTCTTTGGGGAAACAAATATGTCCAAACCTTTGGTTGTTGCTTCGGTTTGTGTCTTGTAGTGCTATAAATTTATTTGGCTGTTTAACAGTTATTTGAGCTGTGTTGCTTAGTTTCCCTGCGCATTGTTAGTGATAACGCAAGCAACAATTTCATGACAAACTGAACCATAGTTTATAAGCTGTTAACTCACACTTTTGTGCCCTGTGTATTTATGGGTTCCTCCCATGAGGTACCAGTTCCTCCTAATAGTTATATTCATCTTGCTGCTCAATTGTGCAGAATTCATTTCTGTGTTTCCGGAGTTTAATTTGGTTCTTCGGCGAGCATTTCCGAGTTCGCAAATCTCACCTTCATATATTGACTTCCCAAGGAGCAGTTTTTCTTATTGTCATCCTTTTTGATCCAGTTTGCAAAAATTTCAACTGCTGGGTGGCAGTGAATCAAGAATCTTTGATTTACAACCATCCATTTATTGACTGTTACAATGGCAATGAAAAAAGTGACTTAACAATCTAGTCCTCAAATTTATAACTGCTGCAGCATCCCCACAATCACATGATCAAAATTCAGGTACATAGCAACTGGGTTGTGTTTATGATGGCTGCAGCAGACCCGGGTCATGTAATTACCATTTGTGACTTTCCCAGCCAGCTTCCAACCAACAAAATCAATAGAATAGAATAACAGACTTGGGAGGGACCTTGGAGGTCTTCTAGCCCAACCCCCTGCTTAGGCAGGAAATCCTACCCATTTCAGACAAATGGTTATCCAATCTCTTCTTTAAAACTTCCAGTGTTGGAACATTCACAACTTCTGGAGACAAGTTGTTCCACTGATTAATTGTTCTAACTGTCAGTCTAGGTGGCTTCTCTTCTTGATTAGTTTCCATCCATCGTTTCTTGTCCTGCCCTCAGGTGCTTTGGAGAATAGCTTGACAATGGAGGAA